ATTTACACATGCATACACATGCGCATGTGCATATACATGTGCACACACGATTGTATAAACACGCGTATATGCACATATGGGTATACACACCTATCGTGTATATACACATCTATTCATATGTAAGTATGCTATATCTCCCCGCCCGGTGGGGAAAGTCGGCCAATGGGACCACGGCCATGCCGGTGGTGGTGGGGATGGGGCTACTTGGCGCTCGTGTATTTATTTGGGTGGGCTAGGTCCACGACCGGGCGGCGGCGAGGCTGCGCGAGCAGATGCGCGCTGTCGCGGGCGAGCCGGAGCCTGCCGAGCCCGAGCCCGCCGAGCCGGAGCCCGCCGTGGAGGCCGCGGGCGGACAGCGGGCGCAGCCCGAGGCGGCAGCCCTCGAGGGCCCGCCCCCGGCCCTGCCCGCGGCGGCGCCGGCGGCGGCGGTGGCGCCGATGCTGCCGCCGCCGCCGGCGGTGTCGATGCTGCCCGCGGCGGTGCCGGCGGCGGCGGCGCCGCCGATGCTGCCGCCGGCGGCGGCGGCGCTGGCGCAGGCCGCGCTGCCGCAGGTCGGCCCCGTCGGCGCCGCCGCTGTTTTTTGCTGTCGCCGCCGTGTCGTCGAAGAGGCCGCCGTCGGGCCTTTGGTTCGCGGTTTCGCCTGCCGTGGGGCCTGTTTTTCGGCTCCGTGGCAGCCGTCACAGACGGGCCAGCCCGCCTCCTCCTCCTCCACCTCCGCCTCCGCCTCCGCCTCCGCCTCCTCCTCCTTCTCCTCCTCCTCCTCCTCTTCCTCCTTCTCCTCCTCCTCCTCCTCCTCCTCGTCCTCCTCCTCCTCCTCCTCCCCCCCTCCTGATCCCCCATCATCCTGATCGGCGGAGAGCCGGTCCTGGGGAGCGGCTCGAGAGTTTTGGGGGCCCTTGCAAGGGCAAAGGCGCTCGCGCGGCTGGTTCCGATGGCGCAGCCGGCGGGGACGGCACGTCGGAATGTTGGCGGCCACTCGGAGGCCCAGAGCTACAAGGGCAGTGGAGGGTTGATTTGGGCTGCGCCCTGGCACGCCTGCTTTTTCTTCCGCACTCTGTGGCGCATGTGCCCCTGAGCAATATGTCTGAGAGGGTCGGAACTCTGGGATGAGGTCCACTTTGGCTCAGAAAGGGGATAAACGCTTCTTGCGGTGCTCCTGTCGCGCTCCTCATTCATCTGGGCGCCGCTGGTGGCAAGACTATGGTTTGCCAGCGCTGTTGCTGCATTGACTCCTCGCTCCGTCCCCAGGAGTCTTCGAGTCGTCGCCCGGCCAGACTTTTGCTGCTTCGTGGCAGGTTTGCGCTGCGTCGACGCGGCTGCGACCTGGGCGCGGGAGCTGAAGGTTGAAGGAGCTCAGCGTTCCGGAAGTGGTCGAGATCGAGTGCTTTGCAGCGTCGGAAGGCGCCGCGGTTGTTCAGGGTAGACGCGGTGTCAGAAATCAGCACGGTCCTCATCGCAGCGTCACAATCCTGTCGCTGATTTGGTGACCGCTCCTTTGCCCTTCAGAGACGCCCGAATCCCATCGGTCTTGCGCCCTCGGCCCTGCTTCCTCCCGACGTGCGGGTCACCATGCTCTGGGGCTCTTGTCGTCATTCGGAGGCCTAGAAATTGTCACCAACACCAATATCGGCGGTGTGCCTCCACCGAGGGAAGATGGTCCCGATCTCGGTAATGGTGGTGATGTTCGGGCTTCCTACAACCCGCTGGATAAAAAGTGGAGACCGTGGGGATCGAGAAAGACATGGTTTGCCTCCCGTTAGGCCGCGTGGCCCCAGGACAATGTTGGAGTTCGGGCCGATATGGGAATTTCAGATGCATCTTTCACCCCATTTTGGTATTGTAAAGGCCATATGGGGTCAGCGTCTGAAAGTGCGATTCCGCCCGAGACTTTCTCAAAACAATTTTCAGATCGCCTTCCAGGGCGATCTGAAGATATGCCATGGCATTTGAAAATGGTGATTTCGTGTTGGACTTCAGAAAAAATAGATCGATCTTCATGCCGCTTGAGAGTGGCGATATCGCCTGAGAATTCCTCAATGGGTATTCTCCAGCTATTTTGCACGCCGCCAGAAAGTGGCGACCTCGTTTCAGCTGTCCTAGTAACCGCGCGTCTCGTCCACTACTGCAGCGCCGTTCCTCCGTTCGGGTCACGGGCCTGTTTGGGAGTCATCTTGGGATCGATCGGAGGTCGAAGCTCGAGGTGTTATCGATTAGCACAATGCCGATCACCACTTTTTAATCCAGGGGGTGGTAGGTGATCGAAATATGACCACCAAGACCAACATCTAGGATCATCTTGCTTCGGTGAAGGCAACCCCTTATTTCGGTCTTGGTGCTCGTTTCCAAGCATGCGTCGAAGTGAGGACCGCTGGGGTCAGGGGGGGCCTCGGTGTTCCCAAGGCTTGCCCCTCCCCCTTCCCTCCCGATGTCAGAGCTCTGCGTGGCCTGTCAGGGGCCACCACGGCCTTGCGCGGCTGGGCTGGCCCAAAATGGGCACAGAGCCTGCACCGGCGCCTCGCTCGCTCGCTCGCTCCCCCGTTCCTCTTTGGGTCTCCGATCCTTGCCTGGCATTATTATGTTGCGTTTTCTTGTCCCCCCCGCTCCTCACTGGCTTGGGGGCAGTCTGGTTGCCGCTGCCCGCCGTGCAGGTTGGGGCGGCAGGAGCAGACTTGATGTGCCCGCACTGCGCAGTGTTCGCGCGCTGCCCTTGCCCATGGCGCGCGTGCATCCGAGAGCACAAGATGCATCCTGCAGAAAATATGTGCTGCGCCTCGTGTCTTGCAAGTGCATCTCGATCTCTATGTATATGTCTATGTAGATGTAACGTGTACGTGTATACGTATACTTGTATTTGTATGTATGTCTGTCTGTCTGCCTGTCTGTCTGTCTGTCTGTCTGTATGTATGTATGCATGTATGCATGTATGTATTATGCATGCATGCATGCATGCATGCATGCATGCATGCATGCATGCATGTATGTATGTATGTATGTGTGTTTGTTTGTTTGTTTGTTTGTTTGTTTGTATTTATGTATGTATGTCGGAGATTGGGGGGTGAGATCGCAGCGGAACGGAGACCCCCAACCAGGAAATCGTTTCGTTTCGTTTGTGTCGTGCGTGCGGGCGAGGCGAAGCTGCGCGGGTGCGCGAGAGGAATGAAGCCGCCGTTGCTAGGGCGAAGTCAAGGCAAATGATTCTCCCCCGCCCGCCCGTCTGGCGGTGGCCCGCGGTGTCCCGTGGTGTCCCGTGGTGTCCCGTGGTGTCCCGAGGTGTCCGCCGCTGCTAGGGCGAAGTCAAGGCAAATGATTCTCCCCTGCCCGCCCGTGCGGCGGTGGCTCGCGGTGTCCCGCGGTGTCCCGTGGTGTCCCGTGGTGTCCCGTGGTATCCCGTGGTGTCCCGTGGTGTCCTGTGGTGTCCCGTGGTGTCCCGTGGTGTCCCGTGGTGTCCCGTGGTGTCCCGTGGTGTCCCGTGGTGTCCCGTTGAGTGAGATAGTGAGATCGATAGTGAGATCGATACTGAGATCGATACTGAGATCGATATGGTGCCGTGAGATGTTCCATGGTGCCCCGTGGTGCCCCAAAAAGCGAGATCGATAGTGAGATCGATAGTGAGATCGACACGTGTCCTGTGGTGTCCCGTGGTGTCCCGTTGAGTGAGATCGATAGTGAGATCGATAGTGAGATCGATAGTGAGATCGATAGTGAGATCAATAGTGAGATCGATACTGAGATCTATGTGGTGCCCCGAGGTGTCCCGTGGTGCCCCAAAATGTGAGATCGATAGTTAGATCGATAGTGAGATCGACAGGTGTCCCGTGGTGTCCCGTGGTGTCCCGCGGTGTCCCGTTGAGTGAGATAGTTAGATCGATACTGAGATCTATGTGGTGCCCCGAGGTGTCCCGAGGTGTCCCGTGGTGTCCCGTGGTGTCCTGTGGTGTCCTGTGGTGTCCCGTTGAGTGAGATCGATAGTGAGATCGATAGTGAGATCGATAGTGAGACCGATATTGAGATCGAGAGGTGTCCCGCGGTGTCCAGTGGTGTCCCGTGGTGTCCCGTGGTGTCCCGTGGTGTCCCGTTGAGTGAGATAGTGAGATCGATAGTGAGATCGATACTGAGATCGATACTGAGATCGATATGGTGCCGTGAGATGTTCCATGGTGCCCCGTGGTGCCCCAAAAAGTGAGATCGATAGTGAGATCGATAGTGAGATCGATACGTGCCCTGCGGTGTCCCGTGGTGTCCCGTTGAATGAGATCGATAGTGAGATCGATACTGAGATCTATGCGGCGCCCCGAGGTGTCCCGTGGCGTCCCAAAAAGCGAGATCGATAGTGAGATCGATAGTGAGATCGACAGGTGTCCCGTGGTGTCCCGTGGTGTCCCGTGGTGTCCCGTTGAGTGAGATAGTTAGATCGATATTGAGATTTATGTGATGCCCCGAGGTGTCCCGTGGTGTCCCGTGGTGTCCTGTGGTGTCCTGAGGTGTCCCGTTGAGTGAGATCGATAGTGAGATCGATAGTGAGACCGATATTGAGATCGAGAGGTGTCCCGCGGTGTCCCGCGGTGTCCAGTGGTGTCCCGTGGTGTCCCGTGGTGTCCTGTGGTGTCCCGTGGTGTCCCGTTGATTGAGATCGATAGTGAGATCAATAGTGAGATCGACAAGTGTCCCGTGGTGTTCCGCGGTGTCCCGTGGTGTCCCGTGGTGTCCCGTTGAGTGAGATCGATAGTGAGATCGATTGAGTCAGATCTCGGTTCCCCCCCTCTCCCCCCCCCCCACAGCCTCCTGATCACCCGAAGGGCTGTCGTATAGGCATGCATGTGTGCATGTGCGCATGTGTGTATGTGTGAGTATGTGTGTGTGTGTGTGTGTATGTGTGTATGTGCGTGTGTGTGTGTGTGTGTGTGTGTATGTGTGTATGTATGAATGCATGCATGCATGCATGCATGTATGGATGTGTGTATGGATGTGTGTATGGGTGTATGCCGCCCGCCACCCTCCAGCGCACGTTCTGGGAAGCCGCCTCGGCAAGCGCCGGGGCGCGTGCTGCCTGCCCGAGGCCACCGGCCCCGCCCCGTCCCGGCCCCGCGCCGGAGCGAGTGTCCTCTCTGGCCAGGGGCGGGGCATCAGAAGGCGAGCCGTTTCGGCCGCTCCTCCCTCCTCCCTCCTCCCTCCTCCTCCTCCCCCTCCCCCTCAACCTCCTCCTCCTCCTCCTCCCTCCTCCCTCCTCCCTCCTCCTCCATCTCCCTCCCCCTCCCCCTCAACCTCTCCTCCTCCTCCGTCTCCTCCTCTCCCTGCCTCCTCTCCTCTCTCCTCCTCCTCCTCCTCCTCCTCCTCCTCCTCCTCCTCCTCTCCCTGCCCCTCCTCCTCCTCCTCCTCCTGCATCCTCGGGTCGCCTACGGCCCCAGGGGAAACCGTGCAGGCTGGGGGCGCCTGGGGGTCGTTTCGTCTGAAAGGGGGGGCCGTGGCTAGGGGGGTTTTGGATTTAACCGCGACCGACGTCGCTTGCTCGTCTTTGGCCCCTCCAGTGGCCACAGACACGCATCGAGACCGAGACCGAGAGATATATGTCTGTCTGTCTGTCTGTCTGTCTGTCTGTCTGTCTGTCTGTCTGTCTGTCTGTCTGTCTGTCTGTCTGTCTGTCTGCATGTATGCATGCATGCATGCATGCATGCATGCATGCATGCACTCATGCATGCATGCATGTATGTATGTATGTATGTATGTATGTATGTTTGTATGTATGTATGTATGTATGTTTGTATGTATGTATGTATGTATGTATACATGTATGTATGTATGTATGTATGTATGTATGTATGTATGTGTGTGTGTATGTATGTATGTATGTCTGTCTGTCTGTCTGTCTGTCTGTCTGTCTGTCTGTCTGTCTGTCTGTCTGTCTGTCTGTCTGTCTGTCTGTCTGTATGTATGTATGTATGTATGTATGTATGTATGTATGCATGCATGCATGCATGTATGTATGTATGTATGTATGTATGTATGTATGTGTATACATGCATGTATGTATGGATTCATGTATATATTCATGTTTGTTTGTAGATATGCGTATTTGTTTGTTCGCATGTCTGTCTGTCTGTCTGTCTGCCTGTTTGTTTATGTATATATGTACACATGCATGTCTGTACGTCTATGTGTATAGATACATGTTCTCCCCGACGCGCGATGTGAAGCTTGGAGACGCTCTTAGGCACGCGTGCGCGCGCGTGGACACGATCGCACAGTTCACGATCGGCGAACGTATCCATATCCATGCCCTCGCGGTTTGGATTCTGGCGCGCTGTCCCGCGGATGCGCGGTCGCACGGGTACGTGCCGCGCTTGGCATCCGCGAAAAAATGCCCTGTACTCGCGGGGTCGCGGCCCAGGGGCCTGGCCGGCGATGCGGGTATGTTTTTCGTCCACGAGCAGTGGTGTACCCAAGACCTTCGTTCGTCGCGGCGAACGATCATCACGCGCATTTGTTCAACTGTTCAGGGCCGCGTTCTCGGGGCTCGACGCGATCAGGTTTGAGCAGCGGCCCGCGGCCCAGGTGGAGGTGCTGGAGGTCTGGACATGTGCATTGTTTCTACCGGAGAAACGTAAGACACGAATTCGCCTGGACGCTTGTTGACGGGCCCGTATCGAATTTTATAGGTCGAGCTGTCCTTGGACGTCTGCAGCCGGAGCTTGCGTCAATTTTCAGATCGGGTCCGATTATTTTCCTGACGTCCCCGTCATGTCTGCCCGAGTCCCCCAAACCCGAGTCTGATGTCTCCCCGATCTTTGTTACATTTCATTGAGGTCTTAGCGCACTTCGGCAAGATTCCCCAGGCCGTCACGGAGGAGACCCCTCCGAGCCGGTTGCGGCATGCTTTCGACCGTGCTACCGTTGTCTACCCTCTCGCGGCGGGTGCCATCCATCCAGCCTCGTTTCCGTATTCGCCAGCTTTGCCCTCCACCTCGTCAAGGTCTATTCTTGTCCGCAGGGCAATTTGTGCGTACACCCTCACTGGCCCTGTCCAGGCACAGGGGGTATCTACGTGCCTTCTGCGTGTCACGCGGTGCCTCCATTCATCCTTCGGTGCGCAACTGTCTCACCACAGTTTGAATCGCAGTAGTCAAAAACAGCCGCGGTGCCATCACATTAACTGTCGGAGTTTTCAGCATCATTGCAGTACGCAGTACGCAGTGGTATCAGCCTCATGTGGATGTGTACCAGTTCAATCAAACTCCAGAAATCAGCGTCGATCCGAGAAATCCGCATGGACATCTGGAAGCAATTTTCTTCTACCTCAAGTCGGCTTGTCTTTCAAGTGCCAGTTGCAGTTCGTCTTCTGATGAGTGTTTCTTTCCTTTCTCTTCGGCTCCAGGACCGATCGTGAGCCCACCATGGGTCGCGGCCTAACTCGTCAGTTTTTTTGAGAACACATGTTTCCTGAAACTTGCTGCGCTTCGGAAAGTGAGCGAAGGAAGACAACGGAGTCGTCTGCGCCGTCATCGGCGCGCAAGCTGCCCGCGCAAGGTCGCACGTGAACGCCCTCGTCTCCAGTGCAGCGTGCCGCCCGGGCGGCCCGCGCAAGCCAACGCGTAAGGTCACTGTGCCATCTCGCGCAAGACCCTTGGTTGGATAAGGTCGCTGTGCCATTTCGTTGCTCAGTTGGTTCTTGGAATTCTTGACGCTTCGCGCATCCCCACCAGCCCATCCAGAAACGATCAGCTACCGCTATCTTGACCCATCTACCGCTATCTTCGGCCATCTTGGACGCCATCTTGCGCTCTCCGAGGCCCTCTTGGAACCATCTTAGGCCAAAAAGGACCCTCTAACCCCTCGCGGGGGAGCCCGTCCAAACGCATGGAGGGGGGGGGAGGTAACCTCCCGAGCAGGGAAAGGAGAGAGGTTGGGAAAGGAAACGCCCTAGACCACCTGCGCCCAGAGGGCTGGTGTTGATCTTACCGTGGCGGCTTGGAGCGGTTCCTCGAGGCATCCTGCGGCAACGCACCGTTTGGTGCATGGCACGCTAGCTCGCTCTCTTGGAAAGGGCATGCGGCCAGATGTCTTTCCAACGTCAGGCCCGTCGACGACCAGGGTACGCCAGGGTTCCGCACGTGTATCCAGCGCGTGGTCTTAAGATGTTCCATGTGTGTATCCAGCCTTGTGTGTATCTGGCTTCCTTGTATGCTTTGGAAGGCGACTTCAAGATCTTCCAGCACTGACCGAGCGCAAGCAACATCTCGCAGCCGCCGCTCGGCACGGGGCCAACCGCGCCGCCGTGGCATGCCGCTGCCCCCGCTGACCAGGGCCAGCCTTCATGGCCGAGCGGGGCGCGAAGTCTCCGGGGCAACGTCGGGGGGGACAGGCTCAGGGGGGGATGTGCATCGACCCCCACCGCAAGGGGCCCCATGGCCCACCCCGCCCAGGAACGCACGAATTTCCTTTGTCCGGGGCCCATCGCCGATCCGTCGGCGATGCATAGCCGATCCCAGGCCGGTGCTTCCGCCCCCTCGCCCCCCACGCGAGTCGAGCCCAGTCGAGGTAGCCCCTGTGCAGTGCACCCGGGCCGGGTTCGCCGAGCAGCTTCTTCGCGGCCTGCCGCCGGCGCGCGCCTCAGCAGAGGCTTCGCCGCTTCGCCACCGCCGCCGCCGCCGGCCGCCGCCGCCGCCGCGTCGGCCGCCGCCGCCGCCACCGTCGCCGTCGTCATCGTCGTCGTCGTCGGCGTCGTCGGCGTCGTCGGCGGCGTCGTCGTCGTCTTCTGTCGTTGCCGCGAGGAGAGGCTCGTGGGGAGGATCAAGCGCTACACGGATATGCCCAACGGAGGCGGCTACGGTTTCATCGACTGCGAGGCGGCAACGCTGGCCCGCCGCTGCCGCGGCCGTCGCGGCCCCAGCGCCAGCGCCAGTGCCAGCGTCGACGCCGCCGCCCACGTCTAGGGAAGAAACACGATAACCATGACCAAGGTGTCGCGGGGTTTCTTGTCGACGCCAATCTTGGTCATGGTCCATGCCGACCATCGTCGATGCGCGAAGATGGTCCGCGAATAGACGATGACCCAGATGGACGATGACCTACATCGACATTGACGTTTCCGCGTTCAGTCTTGATCATGGTTTGAGGGAGTTTCGGTGGAACTCACGTCATCCTTACCCCCGGCGCGCGGGAGAGTCGCTCCCAGCGCACCCCCAAGGACCATTTCCGGCGCTGCTCCGGGCGCACTCGTCGCGCCGGGCGTGTCCCAAGCCGGCGCCCTCGCTCGAGACATCCTGGCAAAATCGCCCCAAGGGCCCCCAGCGCACCCCCACGGACCATTTCCGGCGTTGCACTGGGCGCACTGGGCGCGCCGGGCGTGTCCCAACCCGGCGCCCTCGCTCGAGACATCCTCGCAAAATCGCCCCACGGGCCCCCAGGGGAACCCCAGGGACCATTTCCGGCGCTGCACCGGGCGCGCCAGGCGTGTCCCAACTCGGCGCCCTCGCTCGAGACATCCTCGCAAAGTCGCCACTCGGGCCCCCAGGGGACCCCCACGGACCATTTCCGGCGCTGCACCGGGCGCACCTGGTGAGTCGGGCGTGTACCCACTCCGGCGCCCTCGCTTGAGACATCCTGTCAAAATCGCCACACGGGCCCCCAGCGCACCCTCAGGGACCCCCAGGTGATCCCCGCCCGCCCGATCCTCACCCTCCCTGATCTTCATTCTCCTCATCCTCGCTCTCCCGATCCTCACCCGCCGCACCAACGCCACCCGCTCATTATCACCATCGTCATCGAGCACAGGCGCACGCGCCTTTTCTCTATATGCAGAAACTCCCGATCAACCGCAGATCGGCCGGTTAGTCATCGTGTTTTTTTCCACCGTCTTTCCATCCCTTCTGCCATACCCTTCATCTCGAGGAAGAACAAGACGACACGATACAAGCATTCACTTTCGGAGGTGCGTGCAGATCTCTTGGATCGGCGCTGGGCCCCCCTCCCTGGCATTCGGAGCGCGCCAGGGCCGGCGCCGGGGGCGCCGCCAGGGGGTGTAAGTTGAACCCAGGCGAGCTTCACCTGAGCGACGCAGAAAAACGGCTTCGACTGCGCCGACATTTGCACGCAGGCTTTCCGCGCAGGGTCGCGCGTCAGTGCCCTCGTTCTCCGCGCAGTGTGCCGCGCTGGCGGCCTGCGTAAGCCACCGCGCGGGGTCGCTATGCCATCTTGCGCACGTCGAATAAGAAACAACCATACAAACATAAACTTTTGGCGATCCGCGCGGATTTCTTGGATCCGCGCCTGGGCCCCCCGGCGGCGCCTCCGGCGCCGCCCCTGGCGCGCTCCGCGCGCCAGGGAGGGGGGTCCAGCGCCGATCCAAGAAATCTGCGCGGAGCGCCAACAGTTTCTGTTAATGGCGTTTTTCCTTTTTTTAGCGAGACCCGTTTCTTTCGTCGCTCGCCCAGCCACGGGCTGGGTCACCCGCAGCGGCGCGTGGACAGCCGCACCTCGTGCCCGGCTGCCTGGGGCGCACAGCTGAACTCGGCGAGGGGGCACGTGCGCGCCGAGGAGGAAGAAGAGGAGGGGGAGGAGGAGGAGGAGGAGGAGGAGGAGGAGGAGGGAGGAGGAGGAGGAGGAGGAGGAGGAGGAGGAGGAGGAGGAGGAGGAGGAGGAGGAGAGGAGGGAGGAGAAGGAGGGAGGAGGAGGAGGAGGAGGAGGAGGAGGAGAGGAGGAGGAGGAGGAGGGGGAGGAGGAGGAGGAGGGAGGAGGAGGCGGAGTAGCCAAACGCGACTCGCGCTCCACGCGGCGGGACGCCGGAAGCTGCGGTGGCCCGACCGCGCAGACGTGGGATGCGGCAGGGCGCCCGCGCCGAGGACGACGACGTCGGCGACGACGACACTGGCGCCGCCGCCGACGCCGACGTCGCTGTCCACGTCGCCTCCGCTGCCGGCGCCGACGACGACGACGCCGCCGCCGCTGCCGCTGCCGCCGCTGCCGCTGCCGCCGCAGTCGCCGACGACGACAACGACGCCGCCGCCGACGGCGACGACGACTACGACGCCGCCGCTGCCGCCGATGACGACGACGGTGCCGACGACGACGCCGACGATGACGCCGACGCTGACGCCGACGCCAATGACGACGACGACTCCGCCGACGACGACGACGACGACGACGACGACGACGACGACGACGACGACGACGACGACAACGGCGACGGTGGCGACGACGACGACGACAACGGTAAAGACGACGACGACAGCGGTGATAGGATCGTGCCCATCCCGCTGATAGAACTCACCCCGCTGCGCGAGGAGGCCAAGCTGCGCTTCACCCGCGACGTGTATATACACAAGAACCAGATGCAGGGCATGAAGATAGGCGTCCTGACTCAGCATCCCCACCTTGGCCATGGTGTCTCAGACCCATGATGCCACCCTCCTAGGTTGGAGTAGGCCACGCGGACCCCGAAGAAGCAGGCATATATGATCCCAGGTCGAGTGTTCACAGGCTCCCCCTCCCCCCACAGATGGGATGGGTCCCAGGGTTCCACAGGCCCTCCTCCCCATGTGGGATGGGGGGACGACGACGACGATGACGACGTTGATGACGACGATGACGACGACGTCGATGACGACGACGACGACGGCGGCGGCGGCGTCGGCGGCCGTGGCGGCGGCGATGGCGACGGCGATGGCGACGGCGACGGCGACGGTGACGGCGACGGCACCGCAGCACCACCCCTCACTCACAAGGGGAGGGGCCGGGGCACCTGCCTACCTCCACCACGCCACGCCCACAGGGCCACGACCACATGGGGGGGGGCGGGCGATCACATTTGCGAGGCCTTCGCGAGGCTCACGGGCGTGCCCATCCAGCTGGGGGAGGGGGGGTGTATCCCATTGGCATGGGGGGGCAGAGCTCTGGATAATACATGTATATATATATATATGTGTGTATATATGTATGTATACGTATATGTATATGTATATGTATATGTATATGTATATGTATATGTATATGTGTATGTATGTATGTATGTCTGTCTGTCTGTCTGTCTGTCTGTCTGTCTGTCTGTCTGTCTGTCTGTCTGTATGTATGTATGTATGTATGTATGTATGTATGTATGTATGTATGTATGTATGTATGTATGTAGGTGTTTGTGTGTGTATATATATATATATATATGTACCCCCCCTAGGTGGGTAAGTCGGCCAGTGAGGCCAATGCCACGCCAGTGGGGACAGGGATCGGTTGAACGATGCCCCGATTCCCCCGCCGCTCGCCGTCTTGCCCCCCTATGTCCCTGTGGCACGTCCCCGCGGCAGTAGATATGGACATACAGTCGGGCTGAGGCATAAGATCGAGGTCGGCTCGGGGAGGGTACCCTAGTGTTCTCTCTGTGCCTGTCGCATGCTCTTGTGCATCCTGGTGAGGGCGCCCTAGGATGTTCTGCGTCTTTTGACTGGCGGAGGGTCTCCTGTTCTCGAAGGATGGTCTTCTGTCCTGGGCCCGGCTGTACTGTGGCTGCGCACGGGGGGGAGCAGGGTCGAGGAGCGCTGAAGGGGGGGCCGCCGAGGAGGGGGTCGCAAGCTCCTCGAGAGGAGCGAGGCTCGAGACTCGAGGCGCGGAGGTGATTGCGCAGGCCTCAGGGCCGGTGCCGCCGACCTTGGAGGACGACGACGACGACGACGACGACGACGACGACGACGACGACGACGACGACGACGACGACGACGACGACGACGACGACGACGACGACGACGACGACGACGACGACGACGACGACGACGACGACGACGACGACGACGACTCTGAATTGGGCCAGAGTCCTCAGGGATGCTTCCTGGGCTGTCTTTCGGGGGCCCGGACGCTCCCGAAAACGTCCTCCTCGAGGAGGTGACGAGCCCGAGGGACCGCCCCGCTGGGTGGTGGCCCGAGGGGCCGCCCGCCTCGAGGAGGTGACGAGCCCCCGCCACTTGCGGATCCCCCTCTTGGCCCTGCCCGGTGAGGGGGAGGCACTTCCTGGGGGTTTCCTGGATGGCCCGAGGGAGGAGGAGGGAGGAGGGAGGGAGGAGGAGGGAGGAGGAGGAGGAGGGAGGAGGAGGGAGGAGGAGGAGGGAGGAGGAGGAGGAGGGAGGAGGAGAGGAGGGAGGAGGGAGGAGGGAGGAGGGAGGAGGGAGGAGGGGAGGGGAGGAGGGGGATGGAGGAGGGAGGAGGGAGGAGGGAGGAGGGAGGAGGGAGGAGGAGGAGGGAGGAGGGAGGAGGGAGGAGGGAGGGAGGAGGGAGGAGGGAGGAGGGAGGAGGAGGGAGGAGGGAGGAGGAGGGAGGAGGGAGGAGGGAGGGAGGAGGAGGAGGAGGAGGAGGAGGGAGGAGGAGAGAGGAGGAGGAGGAGGAGGAGGAGGAGGAGGAGGAGGAGGAGGAGGAGGAGGAGGAGGAGGAGGAGGAGGAGGAGGAGGAGGAGGAGGAGGAGGCTTCTGCCTTCACGCCGACGCCGTGCGGCCCCACCGCTTAGGGACTTCCTGGGGGCTTCCTGGGGACTTCGTATCGTTTCACGGATCCCTATCCCCATCCCCATCCACATCTCGAGCCCCTCCGCCTCGCCACCTCAGTTGGGGATATGCCCCTCGAAACCGGGGGTGAATCGGCCAGTGGGGCCCAGCCCACGCTGGTGGGGATGGGGATCGGTTAAACGATGCTCAAGATTCTGGCTGGCGCTCGCTCCAAGACGGGGCCCTGGGGGTCGAGTCTGCTCGAGGATCCTGCCGTCGGAGCCTCGAGGATCGAGGTGCTGGGAGACGGTGCAGGAGTAAGATGAGGCTCGGTCTTCTCGCTTCGCGACTGGACCGCTTCCGGCGCCATTCCCAGCTTCCCTTCGTTCTCCTGCAGGGTGTCGTGAAGAGGTTTTTTCGAGGGAGGGTTATGTGCAGCATTGTGGATGCGTTTTGGGTTTATACTCGTCCTCCTCCTCCTCCTCCTCCTCCTCCTCCTCCTCCGCCTCCTCCTGCTCTCCCTCCTCCTCTTCCTCCTCCTCCTCCTCCTCCTCCTCCTCTCTTTTCGTCCTCACCCTTCCATCCTGCTGCCCGTGCCCCTCTCCAGGACGAAGTCGATCATATCTCTCCTGTTGCCGCCTCCACTTCCTCCTCGTTTCCTTCTGCCCTCCGTTTCCTTCTCCCGCCTCCCCCCTTGTCTTCGCCCTCCTCGTCGTTGTCCTCGCCCTTTGCCCTCGTCATCGTCCTCTACGCCGTCCTCCTTCTCCCTCATCCTCCGCTCCCTCCTGCTGCTCGTTTGCGTCCTCGCCTTTTGCCCCCGTTCTTGCCCTTGCCCTCGTCGTCCCTGTCCTTCCCGTCGTCCTCGTTCCTGTCGTCGCCCCCCTCCTGCTCCTCGCCCTCCTCGTGCTCCTCGTTCTCCACCTCGTCCTCGCTGGCATCCTGGGCCTGGACCCCGCTTCCTGCTCACCCTCTCCGCTCTCGCCGTCCTCGGCGCTGCCCTCCCCCTGGCCGGGTATACCGCCCGCCTCTGCTCCGCTATGCCACCCACAGGCGGGGCGCAGAGATTACAGCGCTTCGCCTGTCTTCCTCCCTTTCCCCCCTCCGACCACAATCTCCGCCCTCCTCCTGCCTCCTCCTACCGCCTCCTCCTACCTCCTCCTCGTCCTCCTCCTCCTCCTCCTCCTCCTCCTCCTCCCCTCCTCCCTTCCTCCTTTCCCTCCGACCGAATCTCAGTCTCCCTCCTCCTCCGCCTCTTCCTCCATTCTTCCTACCCCCTCTCCTCCTCCTCGGGGCGTTTTTTGTTTGTTTGTTTGTTTGTTTGTTGTTTTTTGTGTTTTTGTTTTTGCTGTTTATTTGTTTGTTTTTGTTGTCTCCCAGTTTAAGCTGTTTGGTGCTCGCTTAATCACAACGGAATAAGTACTGCAGCCCCGAGCAGACAACACACGGCAGCACAAAACGGAACCGAGCCGAACTGGGCGCGAACGAGAATCCCCAAACGGGAAGCAACAACGCCCCCCCCCCCAACTGAAAAGAGACGTCGATCTTGAACACGGGAATCTCAGCCATGCCCAGAGGGGGGTGGGGGGGGCGGGGGGAGGGCCTCTCAGAAGCACCCCTGCTTCTTGGAAGGCGCTGGCCTGATCCAGGCCTTCCCCCCTCCCCCCCATGCCCTTGCGCGCGCCTCCGAGGCAGGGCTGCCATCCTCCGGCGCGGCCCGCCGCGAGGGCGCGGAGAGCCTGCGCCTCCTTCGCGTGCGGCGCGGAGCGCGATGATCTCAAGAGGGGAAACGGGTGCGCACAGACGCGCGTGGATTCCGATTTCCAGGCAAGTATGGGAAACTATTGGAAGTGGAGGGCTTTGCGAAAACTCAGGAGATGATATTGGGAATCCTGGGATCTCTGTCTATTTACTCGAGTGTCTCTGGGCCCCTTCATGATCGCGAGGATCGGTGGGCGACCTGGGCCCTCCTCGTCATCCTCGCCACCCTCCGAGGGCCATTTTCGATCCGATCGATCCGGTTCGGTGTCGAGTGGACCCGGCTCGATCCGATTCGGTCTCGGCTCCCCGGCGGTCCAGTGCGGCCGGATGCCGGCACGGCGCAGCTGTGCTTCCGGGCGCTGCCGATTCGATCTGGTCTCGACTCCGAGCCGATGCAGCCCGATCCGATGCTCGCTCCGAGTGGATCCGACTGCCTGGCGCGATGCTGATTGATCTTGCCCTCCTCGCAGGCGACATGGTCAGCTTCACGATCGTGCGCAACAACAAGGGGGAGCCCCAGGCCCCCCGTCGGTGGGGCCGCGAGGGTCCCGCCCTCTGGCCAGTGCTGCCGCCAGTGGCAGGCCCCGCAGGGATGGCGCAGGGCATCGGCGTGATTCTTCCATGGTCGTGGGTCTCCCAACTGCGGAGGGCAGAAGTCCCGCCCACCAAACCACCCCAACCCGACCCGAAGTCCCCGATTTTTGCCCTCCATTTTCCGGTGGGTGGGGGGGGTCGGGGAACAATGAAAAAACACGTATGACGCCCGTACCCCCCCAATCCGAAGCTCGGGCCAAATTCGGGTCTTCGGGTTGGGTTGGGGTGGTCTGGTAGGCAATCAAGCAGGTGCACGCCGCTGCCACGGCCTCAGGGCCCGCTCCAGGGCAGCTTTTGATCATGCCCTCCCAGCGCTGGCCGGGGGTGGGGGGCGACGGGCCTGGGCCCAAGATGGGCGTGCGGGTGCCTTCTTCCATGGCCAGTTCGATCAGGAAGCACACGTTCGGCTCATAATCTCATTCGATGCCCTGAAGCTGTTTTTTTCGGGGGGCCCGCCGATACCCTGGGCTATCGGGCCCTCCCGCCCCCCCCCCGCGGATAACCTGACCTTGTCGGGTGCGCAGGTCCGAGGGGGGTGCGCGGTATTGGTTCGCGCCGGCATGCGTGGGGCTGCCCAGAGCGACAAGGCTAGGTCATCGGCCGGCACCTTCCTCTCCCCCTCGATTGGATAGCGCAGAATGTTTGAGAACAACGGTCTCCTGCGTACCTGCGCAGTCTGACAGCGCGTCGGCATCTCCGCCCTACATCACTACAGCAGGCAGACATGGTCAAGATGAGTGTGCGCGTGGCCGAGGCTAGAGCCCCACTTTGAAGGCCCCCAGTACTCCAACCGCGTAACCGTTGGACATTTCACGCGCCGAGATCACGGATTGAGGGGAAACCCCAGAGGAGATGCTGGGCCCGCCCTGGGGCAATACTGAAGACCTCCACTGCTGTAGAACTAGCAGGTCATTAGCAGAGAGATGGGGTAATCTGTAGGTCGGGACACAGGGCAGCAAGTAAGGGGGATAGGGGCCAGCTGGGATGGGAAGAGTGGACAGCAGGCACACGAGATATGGCGCGCTACAGTGAGACGGGGGGAGGGCCGGGCAGGGCAGAGGGGCTGGCGACAGGACGGTGCGGAAACCAAAAGACAAAGAGGACGGTGATGGGCCTCTTTTCAACCACCACCACCATAAGTTCGAGGGGGGAAGGAGGTGGAGGATGAGGAGGAGGAAGAAAAGGAGGAGGAGAGGGAGGAGGAAGAGGAGGAGGAGGAGGAGGAGGAGGAGGAGGAGGAGGAGGAGGAGGAGGAGGAGGAGGAGGAGGAGGAGGAGGAGGAGGAGGAGGAGGAGGAGGAGGAGGAGGGACTCAAGTCCTGCCCTCACCGCGGCGGCAGGCCCGCAACGTCATGATGGCGGACGACGCGCTGCTGCTACGGCCCGAGTCTGCTGGCGTGGCCGCGGACGCCGCGCTGGCG